CTGATCAAGTCCTAAAAGATATAATCCATTAAGCATTGAAATGTAGCAGAAGCATTTGCCAAGCTGAAAGACATAACGTTAAATTGGAAGGTGCCAAAGTGAGTCGTAAAGGTAGTTTTTAGTCGATCTGATTCTTCAACCTTGACCTGCTAGTATCTACTAGCAAGGTTCAAAGAGCTATACCAATATGATCCAGAGAGGGCATCCAGGAGATTATCAATACGAAGGAGGTAATAATTATCTTTAACAGTGATAGTGTTCAATTTACAATAATTGATACAGAAGCAAATAATTCTATCTTTCTTAGAAACAAGTATAACAGGAGAAGTTCAGGAGCTTTGACAAGAATGAATGATGTCAGATGAAATCATATGACCAATTTCTTTTTAGATAGTTTTTTTTTTAGCCAGGGAATGTCAGTATGAGTATTGCTTAATCGGAAGTGCGTTGCCAGTATCAATCCGATGCTTTACAAAATTAGTTCAGCCTATTGGCTCTTTTTCCCAGGTAAAAAGATCTAGGTTATTACCTAGAAATTGCTGGAGCTAAAAATGTTGTCTGGGCTCCAAACTTTCGATTTTGTAAGGATCTTGCTGTTCTTCATAATAATAATTGAAAAGGTCACTAATGGGAGATTCAATAGCAGGGCATCTACAATACATCTACAGGGGTTAGGCTTAACAGTTTCTTCCTTAAGATAAGTGTTTCTAGTTTCGTTATAATAATATGCAATCTTAGGGGGTTTGTTTTTTTCTTTTCTTCTCCTTGCTTCGCAATTATCTTTATTGATATTATTATCCACGTCAGAGTCAAAACTATTTATCTCTATTTTTAGGGTGCTAAAGTCTAGATATGAGTACTACTTTATTATCACTAGAACTATCTGAATTAGGGTCATAGTAAACTAAAAGAGATAAATTATCTGAATTAGAAAAGAGAACAAGGATTTCTCTATATTGATAATCCTTAACCCGGATCGAAGATAAACAAATATCTAGAAAGGGTTAAGCCGAAGAGGTAGAAGGTATGGGATTATGAATGTTGATTTGGGGGAAACAGGGTAGCTCATATAAGATGCTAGTGTATTTAATAGGGAGCTACTAATGTCTTTATTATTAGAGATTAAAGGTAGGAGGGTGAGTTAAGAAGAGAATAATGTATGTCGATAGGAGAATCTCACTGGTCGAAAATTTTTAATATAAAAGGCCGATATTTGGAAGATAGCTAGATGAAACATCTAAAAACAAATATTCGAATATCGTATAGATGATATAAATATAAATAA